ACCACTTAGTGTTTCACAGATCAGGTACACAAGACACAATGCGTATGTTAATGATGGTAAAGCATGCTGTGAGACCATGATACATGCTGTGTGTTTAATCATGCTGACTGCCTATGCTGAGTATGTCCAGTAAGAACCAGTGTAGTGGGGAATTGGATAGCTACACTAGAGACTGCACATTTTTTGCCAGTTATCATGGACTTTGTATAAAAATTGATTGTATCTGAGGCACAAAAGAAAATGTCAGTAGATCCCCAAAGTAGACACTGTATGTGTCTGATTATCAAAATGATGCCCTAGAATGGTAAATAATAATAACATGAATTAAATTTAAAAATACTCTTTGAAATAAACCTATCATTGGGAATAAATTTGATGCTGCCATCAGAGTCTCTGTTTAGAAACTCACTTGGTTGTGTGGAAGACATGAGAACTCAAAGTTGAGTTTTCAAGTTAGTCATAAGACTGACCACGTAGTGTTGCCAGAGGCTGGGTCATAGTTCTTGGGGAGCAAGACCTGGTGAGAACATGGGAGACACCTGGGCAGCCACAAATGAGGAGATAGAGCACTGGCCTTAGAGTCTTTTAGGCTTGGGTTCAAGTCCTGCTTCTCCCTCTTAGCAGCCACCGTGGAGAGCTCCCTATTTCTGGCTCCCCATCTGCTGATTCAGACGAGAGCTTTTAAGTTGTGCCCGTGGTCTTCGCTCTCACCAGGCACCATAACTGTCTGGGAAGTTTTTAAATAATACTGATCCCTGGGCCCTATGCCCAGAGATTCTGACTTTGTTGTTTTGGTTTTTTTTTTTAATTTATTTTTACTTCGTTGTTTTGGAGTGGGAACAAATCAACAAGGATTTTAAAAAATCTCCCTGGGTGGTTGCAATGTGCAGCCAGGATGGCGAACCCCGGAGCAAGACGATTTCTCGATTCTGAGATTCAGCAGGACTTCTAGATTCCTATAGTCTCTGCACTTGGAGAAAAGTTTCAGAAGGCTAAAACCAGAGGAACAACGATGCAAAGCAATCTAATCAGAGTGTGCATTATCTCAAATGGTGCAGAAAATGTCAGTGCCAGTTAATATTTTGCACCCAACATGATTTAGACCTGGGGCATATATTGTACTCCAAGCCCATTGTAAACACAATAGGCCATTTATTCACTGAACAGTAACCACTGTAATTACCTACAGGGCAAACATATGAGGTTGTTCAAGCAACAATTAATTGTGGACCTGGAACTAATGGGACAATAACGGCAAAGTATCAACCAGAGTGTGATTCAGAAATCACATCAGAAAACCAATATTTTCCAAATTGTATTAGATAAGCACTTTTTCTTTGGACATGATGGCACATATAGCATCCCCAGTCCTGAAATAGTTGCTCCCTGACTTTTCTAATAGCCCCTTCTTAAACTTGTGAGCGTAGGAAGCTGCCATGTTATTTCAATCTTGAGAGAAGAAATAACCATGGCTCCTAGGTTTGAGGGAATCGTCCCCTACCACCACCAGGTGCTGCTGAGTTAAATCCATCTCATAGTGACCCCGTGTAGCACAGTAGGATCATGCTCCATAGAGCTGTCAAGGACTGATTTCCCCTCCCCCGCCCAGAAGAATAACATCAGGCCCCCTTGTTCAAAGTCCCTCTGGTGGACTTGAATCTCCAACCTTTTGGTTTGCATCTAACTCAGACCAGGAAAAGGGACAAGGTCTCCATCGCCCCACCTCCAGGAAGCCTTGATGGGGAAAAGAATGACAGAGAGACAGCAGCAGTAACTGGGGCGTCTGGATGCTAGGATGGAAGTGTCAGATCTAGAGCTGTCGCTACAATAATTAGGAGTTTGGGGAGAAAGCAGATGATGGCTGACGGAGCTGCTTCAGCCTTGCTACCTCCCTATCAAAGACTTAAATAAAACAAAAGAAGGAAGGAAGGACAAATTAGGTTAAGTCACGGAAGAGTTCTTTTGTAGCCGCAGAGGGGAGCACTGAGTCACTGCCACTGAGGCAGAACCAACTCTGGGCTGATCCTCCAGCAGGTTTGCAGAGGCTCTGAATCACACAGAGGAAGAATGCCCATCTTTCTCCTGCAGAGCGGCAGGTGGATTCAGACTGGCTGCCTTTGAGTTGCCAGTGCAACTCCTTACCCTCTAGGCCACCACAGGGGAAAGGCCTTCCTCCTTATGACAGAGAACCTGAAGACATTGTTAAAATTCCACTGCATTTTAAAAGTAATGAAAACCACCCGCATAGTCTTCTCAATTGCTTGCTGTGCGTCAGAGAGCTGGGCAATGACTACGCGGGATAGAAAGGGTAATGATGCCTTTGAGTTGTGGTGCTGGAGAAGAGTGTTGAATATACCATGGACTGCCAGGAGAACAAATAAGTTCATCCTAGAGAGTGTGAGACCAGGCTGCTCCTTGGAGGCAAGGATTCTGAGGCTTCATCTGACATACACTGGAAGTCAGTCATTTACATCCAAAATTGTTTTAATGTAGAAAAACTGATGAGAAAAGACTGAAAGTCAAATTGTAAAACAGGCAAAGGAGGTGAAGAATTTCCAGAGGAAAAAAAAAGAGACAAAGAAGCCGAAGGAGATAATTTAGCCCCTCTCATACTAAGGTAAATGCAAGTTATAACCAGGACTCTAGAGTGGTTCGTGCTGATCGGACCCCCTGCAGAGGGACCAGAATGTGGATTCTAATTCTGTATATCTGGAGTAGAAGTGCACTTCTCGGCAGGGGGTTGAACCAGAATGAACTGGTTCAAAGCCCTGGTTATAACTAGAACAAGATAACCTCCCCCCCCCCACCGCCCCCCTTATCCTGAAGAGATTAAAAGTTGTTCTGCATCTCTATACATGAGGCTGGACGAAAGGAGGCCAGGAACCAGAGGGAATGGGATGGAGAAGGTGACATTTCAGCTGGCCTTCTAGGACGGATAATTAGAATCCAATTTGACAATTTACTAGCTCTTAAAAGAAAAAGGAAGAAATAATTAAGGGAAAGATTTGACTACTGAGTTGAAATGAAAATGCATACATGAAATTTAAAGGCAAACAAATTGGGATATTTGTAGCAACTGTGATCGCCTGAGTTTAAATGCTGTATTGTACACATACAAAGTCTTCATTAGACTCAATCTAAAAGCATCCAAATGCCACTTAAAAAATAAACAGAGGACATGAAAAAGCAGTTCCTAAAATAACTAAAGAACTCAAACTCATTGCTGTTGAGTCAGAATCGAATCATAGCTGACTTTTCAGTGGGTTTTCAGAAGCTTTAAATTGCTCTTTCTTTCACGGAGCAGCTGGTGGATTTAAACCGCTTGCCTCACGGTTAATAGAACAACTCCCCACCAACTAGGCCACCAGTGCTCCTGACCCTAAAACAGGACATGTTGTCATGTGCCACAGAGTCAAAACCGATCCATAGCTGACCCTCCAGTGGGTTTTCAGAGGAAGTTAATCGCACAGGAGGAGATTGTCCATCCTTCTCCCAGAAGGGGCTGGTGGATTCAAACCACCTGTTTTCAGAAGTGTAGCACAGCTTCTAACCGCTAGGCCACCAGGGAGCTCCGGTAGTAAGGAGCTGTACTGCCAACCCGAAGGCATCAACAACTCGCATCAACCAGCTGCTCCATGGAAGAAAGATAGGCAATCTCCTCCTGGGCAAATAACAGCCTCTGAGAACCTGAAGGAGGGTGAACTATGGATTGGTTCAGACTTGACAGTCCACACAGTTCATAGTAACATAACAACAACATCAGTTACTGCTCACACGGGAAAAGGTTCAACTTGCACTTAATTAATATTGGCAACGTGGCTCAAGTTTTTCATGATAAAACAATTCTAAATGAAATATTTTAAAAAAATTTCCTCGGTTGATAAGAATGTGGTAAAAACTTCCCTCAAATGTTATAGCTTAGCTAGACTGTATGTCGATTGATACAATCCTTTGAAGGAATAAGTACTAAAACTTTGGGGTTGCTGGCTGAAGCAAGCAATTAAGTGCTTTACTAACAACTGGAAGTTGGTGATTTGCACCCACCTGAGGTGCCTTCTAAGTCAAGTCTGCGTCTGACGGTCATCATCTTCAAACCTGCAGAAGGACAGGTCTGTACTGTGCACGTCAAGTCCTCATGAGTTGGAATTGATTCAGAAGCAGCCTGTTTTGGTTTTGTGTTTTGTTTTATTGCATCTTTATTAGCCATATCCTTGGGAAATTTTACATGCTGGACTCTGTCTTAAATAGTCTGAAGTACGGAGGGCGGGGGGTGGGGGGCAGGGTAGAGACAATTATACATATGATTGTAGGATCATATGGCAACCATGACTCTTTTTGGAATTCCTGAGTGATGGTTAAGCTCTGAACTATTGGAAAATAAAAGGTTGATTGTTCTCACCCAGCCAGGAACACCTTGGAAGGTAGGCCTCTTTGATCCTGAAGAGTCGTAGCCCTGAAACTCTGTGCGGACAGTTTTCCTCTGCCCATGTGAGATTGTTATGAGTTGGAATTAACTCATCAACAACTAAACACCAACAATGAAGAATTATAATTGCAAGCTCCAAACTGGGCATGATTCAGCAAATTGTAGTATGTCTACATGCTGGGACATTATGTAACTATTGAAATGCTCACAAAGAATTTTTAATAGGGAAACTTGGAGGATAGTATTAAATAAGAAAAATTCAAAGGCAGCTCATTTTCGTATGCAGAATGATCTTAACGATGTTTCAAGAACAAGTCTAGGAAAAGGGCTGGAAGGAGCTAGATGATGGTATTAATGAAGGGTAGATTAGGAGTTGTTTTCCTCCTTCCAGCCTTTTTTCTGAGCTGCGATGTTCCCTTGCCTGTGCCTCTTATGTATAACATTCACCGTACAGAGGTGTTGGAACGCCTCACCCTTGTGTTTGTGTCTCATGCTAGAACTGAGCTCCCTGTACTGGGCTCACAGCTGTAAGACCCCTCAGTAAAAAGTTCTCTCTTTCTCTCGTGTTTTTCAGCTTTCCTTTGCTGCAACCACGCCTGTCCTAGCTGATAAGAAAAAATATCCTTATTTCTTTCGGACTGTGCCGTCAGATAACGCGGTGAACCCAGCCATCCTGAAGTTGTTGAAGTACTACCAGTGGAAGCGGGTGGGCACCCTGACTCAGGACGTGCAGAGGTTCTCCGAGGTATGTCCTACTTGGGGCACCAGAGGGCGGCCCAGGCTCTCCTGTTAAGTGGTGACCTCTCCTAAACAAACTGACAACCCCACACACCCACTGCTGTGGGGTAAATTCCAAGAATGTCTGTCAGCTATCCAAGGCTGCAGATCTTTACGGGGTGGGGGGACCTCAAAACTTGTTGCTGTTGAGTTGGAACTAACTTAGGACTTACACTTCAGTGGGTTTTCTGAGGCTATAAATTACATGGGAGAGAGAGCCCATCTTTCTCTGAAGGAACTGCTGGTGGATTCGAACCACCAAATCATACGGTTAGCAATGCATTTCCCTATTAACTATACCAGCAGAGCTCCATTTGCAGGAGGAGACTGTCCGTATTTCCTCATGGAGCCCCTGGTGGATTCGAACTGCCCTCCTTTAGATTAGCAGCCCAGCGTGTAATGCGCTACACCACCAAGGCTCCTTGCAAGGGGCAATATGGCTTACTGAGAGCTGAGCAATGTCTCAGGACTTTTAAGAAGGCTTGTTTTAGCAAGCTTATTGCTTTTTTCCCATTGACAAAACAATCTAGTAACAGGAATTGGAATGTGCCTGGAGCTGGTGAAAGCCTCCAACTGGGATCTCTCAGGAGTGAAATCTTCCCTTTTGCTGTTCATTTCTAACTAAATCATGTGTATTATTCCCTCAATGAGTTGTCCCTGTTACTAAGGCTCTTTTGTTACTGGATGCGGTGAAATTAGGTCTGATTCACATCAATACCATGTGACAGCGTCGAGGTGCCCCTAGGGTTGTTTTCTAGGCTATGTCCTTTCCAGGGGATGGTCACCAGGTCTTTTCTCTTGCAGAGCCATCCATGTGAGTTCAAACCACCAACTTTTTGGTCAATGGCTGAGCCTCCAGTTCCTGACTAATTCTGTAATGACCATTTAGGATTATAATGTGCCAAGAGAGTTTTCTGAGAATTTTTGAGAGGAATGGGTTTTGAACCACAACACCAGTATCATGTTGTTGGTTTATACCATTGAATTGAGACCAACTCATAGCTGACCTTCCAGCTGATTTTCCGAGGCAGTAGATCGCGCACAAGCTGATTGCTCATCTGTTTCCCACAGAGAAGCTGGAGGATTCGAACTATGTTCCTTTGGGTTGGCAGCACACTGATTCTATTTTGTTTTCACATCTTACCAAACCAAATCAAACGCACTGCCCATGAGTCCACTTCGACTCATGCTGCCCCTTCGCTGGGTTTCCAGGGCTGTTAAGCCTTGTGCATGTTGCATCATCTTTCTTCTGGGAAGCAGCTGGTGGCTTTGAACCACTGACTTTTGGGTTAGGAGCTCATCAAGTACTGTCACTCTGGTCTCCTGTCACATACATTATCAATAACTTTGAGGGTTTTTTGGCAAAAAATTTGAACAAGACCAAAAATATGGGTATAAAAAGTAAACATTTCTTCTCTCTGCCTTCTAAATCTCATCCTCTCCTGAACTAAGTAAGCCCTTTTCTCAGCTTGGTATTCATCTGCCCAGAACCTTTAAAATAAATCTTCTTAAAACCATCTGACTGTGTGCTATATATTTGGAGCTTTTTCTCTTTACAAAAGGGCTTGGAGATCTTGATTTACCTTCTTCTTCTTTTTTTTTTTTTGTGAGAAAAACTTGTATTTAGAATTAGCCAGCTGGACTCAGTTTAGATGATCCCAATTTTGTTGGCAACATCCAAAGCATCTTAGTCAGAAGCAAGTCGAACATAAACCTTCTTCTCTCCATCAGGCCTAATCAAAGTGTTGACCTTGGCCACATCAGTGTCATTGAGCTTCTTTACAACTTGTTTAATTTGGTGCTTGTTGGCCTTGACATCCACAGTGAACACGAGTGTGTTGTTATCTTCTGTCTTCTTCATGGCTGACTCAGTGATCAGGGGAAATTTGATGATGGCATAGTGGTCAAGCTTGTTTCTCCTGGGGGCGCTCTTCCAGGGGTATTTGGGCTGCCTTCGGAGTCTCAGCGTCTTAGGCCACTGGAAGGTGGGTGACGTGCGGATCTTTTTTTTTTTTTTTTGGCTGTGGACACCCTTCAGCACTGCCTTCCTGGCCTTTAATGCCTTTGCTTTGGCTTCAGTTTTGGGAGGGGCAGGGGCTTCCTTCTTCACTTTCGGCGCCATCTTCGCAGAAAGGCAATTTGCCTTATTCATACTTAAGAATTTCTTGAATGAGTAGGTGGTGAAGGTTCTTTCCAGGCTTTTTGTACCATACCCAATACCGTATCATGCGTGCATACTTGCATCTTTGGACTGATTTTGAGTCTTGGTAAGTCTGGACATGGAGCGATTGGATCATTAAAAATGTTAAGATTTTTGAAACTCACTTTCTGGAAAATTATTCCAACCTCTATTGTTTCTAGCAGCATTTGAAAGTCCCATTTGCACACATCCTCACCAACAGCCAATATGGGATATTATCAAATCTTTGGAGGAAAAAGTCCCAAACCTGCGTCTACTCACAGGAGTGCCGGGGTGTCACATGTCTCTTTTTTACTTGCCTTGTCTATTTGACGTTCCTGTCTCTTTCCAAGGATGCTCTTGATACTTATGAGCCGCCCTGAATGACTAGACGTGCCAGGTGTGATTAGCAGCACAGGAGGGAAAAGCTGAAAACCTTCTACGTCAGTGTATTAGTTTTCTAGAGCGGCAGTAACAAAAGAAAGCAAGTGGCTTAAAGGGGCAGAAATTAATTCTCTTATGGTTTTGGAGGCTGGAGTCTACAATCAAGGTGCTGGCAGGGCCATGCTCCCTCTGAAGGTTCTAGTACAGATACTTCTTTGCTTTTCCCTCAGATCCCAGTAACTCTTCTGTTGTTATTATTATGTGCCATTGAGTTGACCATGAACTCATCCCAACTCTATTATCAACAGATCTGAGCCTTGTCTTACCTTGGGACATCTTCACCACCTCATATATACTTGAACCCATTGTGACAGTTGCTATATCAACCCATCTTGCTGATCGTGGCATCATGCTTAATTTCCATGGATACAAGCCATTGAATTTAGGACTCTGCCTAATCCAGCATGACTTCCTCTTAAATTGTTCACATCTGCGAAGACCCTACTTCTAAATAAGGTCACACTTGACGGTGTTGTATGCACTTGAGCCAAGTACAGAGTAGGGGGAGCATGAGGGCAGTGTCCAGGTGGTTCTTGAGAGAGTGGGAAGGACAGATTCCCTTCCGCAGGCCTAGACAGGTTGCTTCTGCTAGCAGGTGCCTGGGGAAGAGGAGACCTGGGACAGAGAGAGAAGGGAGGAGGGGAGAAAGAGAGGAAGAGGCCAGTGCTAGGAATTTTCAGCCATGCTTTCCACTCTGCATTTCGCCATTCTAAGCTCTCGTCCCCATCTTTCTGAAGAGAAGAAGTCACTTGTCTTATGACCTTGGGTGGGTCACATCACTTCCCTGACTTTCCGTTTCCTCCCTCTTCAAATGGGGACAGCAGTCCTTCCCATGCCTTTCCTGCCAGGTTTTTGGCAAAATCAAATGAGTAATGGATTTGAGGAGCTCTGTAAACCACACAGCCTGTGCCCACAGCGATGCTTTCTGAAGTACTTCAAAGCGGAAGTGTTAGGCCTCATTGTCCATAGTTATCCAAACAAGGCGAGCTTTTCCCAGGCAACTGGTCCATTCTTCCAGCTCTCTGCTTTTCCACTGCAGGAAGGAGGCAGAGGACACTGACCTCTGGTGGGAGTGAGTCGCTGCCAGACACTGATGTGGCTTCTGCTGGAACTGCCCCTGTCCTGCGGGGACAAGGAAGGGCTCCAGGGTGAGCATGAGCCAGGTTGGTGGTGGTGGAATGGGGAACCTCCCCTGCACCACCAAAACCAGATCCTGCAGGTTTTTGGTGGGACTTGTTTTTTCTCTCTTCATAGCATCTTTGGTTAGCTGAGCCCTGAGGACTCTTAGAGACACTTCCTCCCATCTCTTCATTGTACTGAAGGGGAAACTGAGGCCCAGGGCGGAGAAGGGATGGTGTTCAGGGCTTCAAAGCCCCTCTGAAGTCATGAGGAATTATCAACAGGAAAGACAGGGCTGAATCCCAGAGTCCCACCTCCCATTCCTGCTTTCTATCATTCCTTCTTTCCATCCATAACTCCCTGTGATCCTACAGGATCCTCACAGCAACCTCCAAGGATACAGAATAGGGCTTTGAGCCAGTTCATTCCAGTTTGATCCCTGCTGAGAATTTGCATTTCCACAGGAAGTACACCGAATCAATTTGCATTTTAATTATGTAAATGTAACTATGTGTTGATTTTATGTGTATATATACCTGTTTTTATGTCGTCATAGACTACTCATAACGACCCTATGAATGAAAGACCCGAACACTTGTTTAACTTTCATCATTTCTCCAAGTTCATAGGGTTTCCGGAGGCAAGCTATTTCAGAAGTGGATGCCACTCCAGCTTCTAAGCTTGTTTTAATCAGGCAGCTCCACCAAACACTGTCAGCCATTCTCACATTTGATGCGTCAGTGTCACAGTGTTTAGCATCACGGCAATCACAAGTTAGTTACCTCTGTACAGCAAATGGACAGACCAGTGCTATACCACTTACAAGAATGTTTGACCAATCCCAAAAACAGGCCTGAGGGCCGCAGATTACAATCACCCACCTTTGACTTGGTAGCATAACTTTCTATCCACCAGGCCCACAGAGCTGTCTCTATGTTGGTGGTGGTGTTGGTGGTGTTAAGTGCCTAGGGATCTATAAAAATCACCTGGATCTTTTCAAAACTGTAGATTCTGACTCAGTTTATCTGGGGTGGAAGTTAAAATTCTCAGCAGGGGGTTGAACAGAATGAACCAGTTCAAAGTCTTGGCTTGGAATATCTTTAAGAGTGAATATAAAGTGGGTAAAATCAGCCCTGATGTTGAGTCATCACCAATGTTGAGTCAGATGGCCAGTCTCTCTTACCTTCCATCATAATATCTGGAGGGTCATGTTTTCTCTTCTACAG